CTCCTTGCCTGGTGTCGATGCCACTGATTCAGTGGACGGTGCTTTTCCAACTGATGAACCAGACACAGGGCCGTCTTGTTCAACAGCACCGCCACATAGTTCCACAGCTCCTCCGTATACCAGACAGACATCAACAGGTGGGTTTTTGGACTCTAAGCAACTAAATAGAGTTGGGTGGCTACACTTAATAGACCCAACAATTAGCCATTCGAATTTTAATAGTCAGTTTTCAGTGTGATAGTTTTCCATTATATGCAATGTCAAATTCCCTCCCACAATGCATTGCATATATGTGCAGTAACATGCATAGCAGTGCGAAATTAGAAATCAAAGTTTTTGCCTCAAGTTCACAAAAAAATGGTAAAAAATTCATGTTAAATTTAATGAACTGAGACCTGCATGAATCCTGACCCAAGTGTAGTTCATTTCTGTGATTAATAATGATATAATTCACAGGACCAAGCATGAAAAAGATATTTCGCTTTGTGTCGGAAAGGATCCCCCTGCAGTGGAAAAATCTAGCTCGAGAGTTGCCGATCTTGCCAGATGACCTGATAGAAGCAGAGATATTCCAGATTGAAGAAATGCACCGCGGCAACCTCAAGGAACAAGCATACAGGAGCCTAATAGTATGGGAGACGAGTGAGCCTGAGCAATGCACTAAAGAAATGCTAATCACTGCCCTCAAGGACTGCCGACTTAATCTTGTAGTCAAGGAACTAAGTACGCAGCCATGGATCTGAAGTGACAGCAACATCTCTATGGCTGGCCATGACTTTGAGTTTCATTTCACTGAGTTAATAATATGTAGAGGTAGTATAGAAGAAAAGAAAATGAAAAAAAAAACGTACAACAGGTCTTGTGCATTGTATTTTATTTATTGAGGTGATGGTTTATTTATGTCTATTAAACGGTTGTTGTTTTTTTTGGCCATTTTCTGTTTTAAATAGTTTTAGCATTTTTAAGAATCATGTACGTTCCAAGTAGTAGAAAAGGATAAATTGTTACTGTATTTTTCTACTTTTCAGTGTATCCCTTTATTTAAGATTTTTTAAAGCAAAGACGGCCATTACTGTAGAATACTTTATTTTTAACTTGACATTTAATCAGCAAACTAAATCCAGTCCCGTAAAAAATTGTTTTCAACCTGATGGTTTATTCATGAGCAAAAAAGTAATGTGTTGATCAAATTTGCATGTTTCAGGGGAATTTTTTCCAGTTTCAAAAAAAAGGTTTCAACAGTATTTTGTAGGTTGGTATCCTAATCATGTAGTTTCTCAGCTTTCAAGAGAGGAATAATTTTTTGGGGGACCCTAAAATTTGTATATATAGCAAGATAATGAAAAGATACATACCGATAACAATCAAAAAATTAATCTGTCTACAAAAATTGCCATATTAAGTATTTTATTAAAGTTTGTTCTGCCAAAAAAACAAAAATTGTTTTCCTGAGATTTTAAGTGCTTCAAACTGATTGCAAAGCATCATGACACTTCTCCTTTAATTTAAAGAGAAGAAAACAAAATTAAATGATCATTATTATATAAATAGAATGAAAAAGAGACTATACATTTTAATAGTATAGTTTTAAAATAAACCAAAGTTGTAATTTTTAGATATAGAATGTTGTTGAATATTTTCTTACTTCTTGATGTGGGACAATTTTTTAATAAGATTTGTAATCAAAATTAAAGTCCTGGTTGAGTTAGGTGTGTGTGTGTGTGGGGGGGGGGGGGTTAACTTGAAGACTTTTGTATTTTCAATCATATAATTTGTGTACTACCGGTATTATTTGTGGGAGAGAATTTGGGTTCAGTTTATTTTTCATGT